AAAAGCGTGATGCAGTTCCCCTCCATACACTTAAAGGCTAAATGAGAAGTCAAACTTTAGCAGAAAAAACAAATGTCTGGGGGAGGAAAATTAAACCTCCTGTCCAGTTGCAAATATTTAAAGCACAGGGAGAGGCTTTTTTCATGTGAAAGAGCCACTGGTGTATAAACTCAAAGTAATCTTTCCCATAGCAAGGTGGTAGAGAACCTTATGCAAATGTATTAACTTGGTCTGGTACATGTTCCAGTTAAATGAATGCTGGAATAACAAATATTTGTATATAACTCCACAGAAGGTGCAGATCTCACCCTGAGTGCATGCAATGTACTTATATTGATATACACAAATATTTGTTATTTCAGCAAATAATACTAAATTTAATAACCAGAAATAATATTAAATACAATGTATAGTAATATTAAAGAAACCATTGCTTGTCTATATAAACCAGAAATTTAATATATTGCTATTTCTGCTTTATGGAATGAAATTCAATGAAGTCCAAGGCAATACAGGCAAGAAGTACTTACGCTGCCTGAAAGTAGATTTTTGTTCCCCAGAGCTTTTTTTTTCCTATAGGTATCTGTCAATCTATGTAACTGTCAATATATATATATAAAAAAATAACATATGTATATATTATAAATAATATATAACAGATAGTATATAAAATAATGTCTAGAATATAGTTATATATATTTAATTGCCATATATAATATATGTTATATTATAACTATATATAATATATAGTTATAAATTTTTCCATATAAATAACTGTCAATATATATGATACAATATTTCTATATTTTAGTTTCCTGTAAAGTGTTTGATATATGAAATAGCGGAGCAGCCAGATGAGCAGTGTGGGCTGTGGGTGCAGAAGGGCTTCTGTGCATCGGATGCTTCTGAAAGATGGGGAAGAGAATTGCCCATGTCCCTGCTCAGGCGTGTGTAGGGCTGTATCTGTGCACTAATGGATTTCAGGAACAGCAAGTAAAAACTGGGATTTTATTTTTTTTTTCAGCTTGTGGGACGTATCTGGTTTTATACAGCGGCAGGAAAAGACATTTAGAAATTACCATTTAAGAAGTCTGGTCTGGATGCCTAGAAGTCCTGCTGTGAATCCATTCTTCCTGCCAGGAGGAGATATTTAATAAGCAGCTACCGTGTACAGAGATGTTATAGCCAAAGATAAATCCGAAGGAATTTAAACAGCACCCATGGATAAACGTATCTCCTTTCCTTTGCACAGATTTCAAGCTTAATCGTTCAATAGAGATCTTACTCATCCTTTCTCAATTAGCGTGCCCAACTCAGCTGTGTTTATGACTCTGTAAAATTAATTTTTATATATTTAAGAGCTTTAAGATCAGATATAACTTTGAATCTCATGTCACTAGCTTGTTTTCAATTGAATGTTTTCAGCTGCACCTGATTTATAATTCCTTGTTTGTATTACAAGGTCACAGGCCCTCCACATAAAAATGACTGGGTATGTTAAAAGAATACAGAAAAATTGGGCACTGCTGTTATTAGATCAGCAACCGAGATGTTCTGGAAAGACTGGCAATTTTTTTTAAATCCATTTACAGAATTCTTACAAAAACATGAATACTATTTACAACAATGCCTGAAATACCTGTATTTCTGCTCTGCTCTCTGTCCCTTGAATATTTTAATGCTTTCGAGATACGCATGTGCTGGTTTTTAAAATATATAGTCTATATCTTTCATATAGAATATAGATATAGAATATAAATATAGAATATAAGAGAATATAAAATAAAAAAAGATAATGGATTATTGGAACATGTAATTTTTGACCTCTTTTGCAATTCCTTGCCTGATGATTCACAGCGGTGGGCGCAGCAGAGGTAACGCTTTGTGCTTAAACCCATAGATCTGCAAAACTCTCCTTGTCCTATTTAAAAGCCTTTTGTCTGCCTTCAATTTTTGTGTGGTGTCTCCATTTATCATTTAAGGTGACATCATTTATTAACCATTCAAATGAGGGTTTGGGTTTATATTTAAAAAAAACACTATTTCCCCTTCGAGGTAGGGATGTTGTTTGCTGCGGGGAGGAGGGTGGTCCATCCCTGGAAGGAAACAAGGAATAAATTAGGGACTCTCATTTTCCAGGACGTGGTGGCAGGGGTGATATTGTGACGGGCGATGCCCTTACCCCTCTCTCTCCCTCCATGGCCATTAGCAGAGATGCACAGAAACATTTTCCTGATAGTTTTCCTGATTTCCCCTTTCCCCCTGTGCCCCAGCGCAGCCTCTCTGACCCTTGGCTGGTACTGTCGTCGTGCTCTCAGCACAGTGACAAGGTGGGAAAGAAAACCAAAGCGGTTCCAGGTATCAGGGGACTGGGGTAATTTCCTCAGACATGAAAATACCTTTTTACTAGTGTTTCTGTTTCTTTCTTGTATATGCTCTAGGGAAACCGTCTATGAAATGGGAGGTGAGTTGTTTTTTCTACCAGTTCTTGCAGTTGTGAAACCTGCTGCTAAAATCTCTCCGAGGCTTACAGTCTTAAAATGCCCTGTTGATGATGATAATAGGAATTGCTACCATTTTTTCACTGGTTCCAGTGCTAAACTGCCCAAACCTTTGTTTCAACAGGACATGTGTCATTCTTCACTGCTGCTGTACTCTCCTATTTTCATTGCGTTCAGATGATGTTGGGGGAGTGAGGGGAGGGGTGTTTCGGTTTACAAAGGAAAAACAGAGCCAAATTGGGTAAATTAGAGTTGAGCAAATCCTTTGCTGTTACAGTTATTCACTGGTGGGCAGAGAGCCAAGGGTTAAATCCCCATCCTTTGAATGGGTATTATTGGAGCTGGGGTAATCATCAGGTGGCTGACATCTATCAAGGTAAGATGGTGCTCTCCCAGATGGTTTCATCAAGGGTTGGACACCAAGGGGGTGACCTGAGCATGGGGATGGAGGGAGAAGGAGCAGACTGGGCAGGGTTAGCTCTGAGGCCACTCACCTTCCTGTGGGGAGGAGTATTGAGTGGTCGCAGCCTGCCTTTTGCTGCCCAGCCCCGGCTGCTTGGTCGTGGGAGGTCATCTCCTGTGCTGGCTGAGAGATGAAGCAGGGATGGACATTAAGGTCAGGATGCCTCAAGTGTGGGAAATGGAGCTGATTTCAAAAGCAGCTGCAGACAGAGGGAAAACCCCTGTTCTTGAAATAACGAACCTTTGCCTGTGGGAAGTTTCAAAGGGGTTTCCTTACAGCTCTCCTGTAAAAAATACATATCATAAAAATCATCTTCTGCTGGGGTGAAGATCTGCACTCTGAGTGCTCGCAGGGTGGAAAAAGAGTGGGTTTAGTTCATTTGAGCTTTCACAGAGGCTAAAATATGCTGTAGGTGTGATGTGTGAGAGGCAGAGATGCTTGGGAACCCCTCCTTACAGCATCCCTGGTGGGATGGGGTCTGGGGCTGCCTGAGCACCTGGGTGAGTATCACAGCCCAGAAGGCCAGCTCGACGTGTACCACTGCCGGCTTTGTTACTGCGTCATTTCGGGGAAACATCCATCTCAGTGAGCGCCCACGGCCGGGTTTGAGACCAAGACCTTCAGAAAAATTTCTATTTAAGCGGAGAGCAGCAGCTCCCTGCAGCTGGGAGAGGAGGGAGGGTGAGGCCAGAGGAGTGCTGCTGTGTGACTGCGATGCTCAACACCCACAGAAGCTCTTCCCACGCCTGCGTTTGCCCTGGCCCTGTGGACTCTGGAGCCACATGAGTCCTTGGCTCGTGAGCAGCTGTAAGAACACATGCAATGTGCAAGACAGGAGGTCTCTGCTGCTTCCCCAGCAGTAAAAACAGCTTCTCACCTTCCCATCCATGCTGGGGAGAGGAGGTGTCAGGTCTGCCTTCCCCTTGCACCCACCACAGGTGATGCAGCCTTGCACTGCTGCCCGTGTTCCAGCAGAGACGGGGGGCTGGGGATGCACCCAAGAGCAAGCTGCCCACTGCCCATTGCCCGTGCTCAGCATGATGCATAATTTCCAGCCCCAAGTCAGCCTTGCAGCTCTGGGCAGCAGCTGAGCCGTGTTAACATCCCCGGGGAGACCTGCTCTGCCTCTGGCATCACTCGGGGCTCAGCACCCGTGGGTGTTGCTTGTGCCTGAGTGCACACGGGGATCGCCTGGGGTTTAGCACAAGTGGGCATCCCTCAGGGCTCAGCACATGTGGGTTATTGCTCAGGGCTCAGCACACATGGGCATCACTCAGGGCTCAGCACATGTGGGCATCACTCAGGGCTCAGCACACACGGGTATCACTCAGGGCTCAGCACATGTGGGCATCACTTAGGGCTGAGCACACACGGGCATCCCTCAGGGCTTAGCACATGTGGGCATCACTCAGGGCTCAGCACACATGGGCATCACTCAGGGCTGAGCACACACAACATTTCTCAGGGCTCAGCACACTCCAGTATTGCTCCGGTCACAGCACCTACGGGCCTCTCTCAGGATGATTCTCGCTGTCTGTGCCATGCTGCTGGGCCCGAGGCCAGCCCTCCGCTGCCTCTGCTTGCTATCAGAAGCGATGTCGGCCTTTGGGCTGCGCCAGGTATTTGGCCTTGGGTACGTGGCTTTGTCTGGCTTTCCTCTCCCACTCCTGGCTGTTTGCAGCCTCCTGTGGGAGAAGATGCCTTCCCAGACCTGCTTATCCCGGAGCTGTTTTTCTGTTTTAACTCTTGCTTGGGCAGAGGTTGTGGCTCCTTGCTCGCCAGGCAGCCATGCCCCACGCTGGCTGCAGCCACAAGACATCAGCCTGTAGAGCAAAATGGCTTAGCAATATATTCACTATTTCTGACAAACATGCCTGTACAGGGCCTTTACAAGCTGCACAGTGACCTGCCCCTTCTGTCTGCTGGTTGTTTGCAGAGTGTTCGTTACCAAAGCCTTATCAACCAGCATTAGCAAGAGCAAACCAGAAGCACCCATGTGCTGTCGCATGGATGAACAGAGAGGAGAGACAAAAAGCTCTCAGAGCATCTTTACAACCCATCTGAATCCGTTTGGTACACCAGTCCTGGTGCTCAGCGCGCTGCAGGATGTGGCCCTGTCCTTTTGCCAGCCTTTGCATCAAGAAAAAATATTAAAGTCATGGTCCGTCACAGGAAAGAAATGTCTGTCCTGCAGTGCAAGCCCATGTCTGTCTCCTGTATCATGCTTCCTGTATCACCTTCAGGCAGGACTCAGCACTCTGCAGGGGAGGGTCCGCAGCTTCTCCCTGCCTGCTGGAGGTGGGGGAAGCCGGTGGGATTTACTGCCTGTGGATGCGAAGCCACAGCCTCCGCCGCAGACCTGGGGAGAGATGGTGTCTGTCAGCCCCAGCACCTCCTCCCAGCTCCCCATTCCGCTCCTGGGTTGTCCCAGGGCCTGATAGCCCCCATCATCCCCCAGGGCTGGCAGGATGCTTACGGTGGAAGCGGTGGGCGGTGGGGACCAGGCTCAGCAGGAGGATCAGGATGCTGGCAGCCAGTGGGACCCAGACCAGAGGGCTGCAGGCACCTGGGGAGCAGAAAGGGACATGGTGTGGAGCTGCTTACCTGCAGCTCACCACTCAGCATTGTCCTGCACTGGCAGCTTTGGAGAATGAAGGGTAGGGAAGGGAGTAAAGAGAGGCAGGTCCTCAGGAAGGGTGGAGGACATGACCATCACCCTGGGGTATCTCCTGGGAGATGCGCTACATTCAAAGGCATTGCAGGGACCTTAGCTATGGGCCACAATGTCCTTTTTCGTGGTGGTGTCTCTGGCATGGGAATTCACCATGCCTGCAGGACTGATGCTGCACCCACAGGGGCTGCACACCCAAAGGACAGCAGAGCTTAGGCAGAGCTAAATCTGCCCCTGGCCCCTAAATCCTTGTATGTTCCAGGAAACTGCTCCTAAAGTCAGAGGTCAGCTCCATCCAGAGCAATGGGGTCTAGGTATACCTGGATGTCTGTCCCTGCAGGGTCACGTTGTGGCTGCCCCCACCCCAGGACAAACCCCAGCTGAACCCTGGGGACCACCAGGAACTCAGCAAAGCCCTTTTGTGAAGTACCCTGAGCCAACCTGGTCCATACCTTTCCCGCTGGCAGCATTTCTCTTGGTTGCACAGCGCATGGGTTTTTTGGAGACTGGTGCCTGAGTGGTCTTCTGAGGCAGAGGTAAAACATCAACTGGTGAATAAGGAGGGGAAGAGAATGGTCAATATGGCACTGAGCCCAGCGAAGGTCTCAAACAGCAGGCAGGAAGGGCTGGAAATTTTGGCTTTTAAAACTAACCCCATCTAGTACCTAGATATGTGCGGTACCCCGCACGTCTAGGTTATCTAGAGGGGTCAGGAGCTTGACCTGAACCTCTTGGTGGCCACAGAAATTCTGAAGAGCTTGTAAAAGCATTAATAAAACAATGTACCAGGCAAACAAGGGCAGAAGGTTAAGGAAGGGAAAAGGAAAACTCTTAAACTACATTTACTGCCAGGCACCATCTCAACAGTGTTGCAAGAAATCACGGTAGCAGGAGATTTCAGTAGCCCTGGGAGATTTTAAGGGACGCCCAGATCTTCTCCATATCCTGGTTGCTCCAATCTTTGCTCAAAAATTGATTTTTTTTTTTCCTGATAAAATGAAAGCAGGATTTCTTACATTGTAGCTGAATTATAATAGAGCACATTCATCTCTCTGCGAAGTTGCTCAGGAAAATATCCCAGCAATGTCATTAAATAACTGTAGATCTGACTGCTCAAACTCCACTTACTCAAAATTTTGGGTGATTCAAAACTAATTTTTTCTGCTTCTATCCAGGATTGAAATTCCTACGGAAACCACCGTTCTTTTACAATGGAAAGTGAGACATCAGGTGCCTGGGATTTATCTGGACAACTTCTCCCTTACATTATGATAGACTTGAAGAAAGGGAACTTAAAAACATTTTGTTCTATCTTGAGTACTAAAAGGAAAAAAAGAAAACATCCAGCAAAGCCTGACTCCTCCCAGAGCACCTGCTGGTGTTTTGTTTTAGATTGGAGTGTCCTTGATCATGTTGAATTTCAGCCCTGTTTTTCATGCTTTGCTTTGCAGGCAGATATGTGCCCAGTTGATATAAAACAGTTCTCCTTTATCTTAAAGCAGGTTTTCGTTGAGCTGGCAAGAATCCAAAAGGGATTTCTCAGCCAGCTCAACGTGCAGGGCATATTTGGAAAAAAAAACAAACCAGAAAGGCTGGGACACTGGGGCTGGTTTAGAACCAGCAGCCATAGCTGCATTTTGGTTAAATAAGTTATTTGTCTCCCTAGAAGCCTGCAAAGAAAGGGCTGAATCCTACTTTAAACACATAAGTTTTTCTCCATCACTTCTATCTCTGCAGTCAAGGGGAAAAATGGGCTGAACAGAGTTGCTGTATGACCCAGGGTCTGTAAAGCATCACTCCCCCGATGCCAACTGCAGACACCTCTGATTTCTGGTTGGAGCTCCCCAGTGATAGTGGGTTGTGGGCTTCGAGGAATAAATCCCATTTCAATCCTTTATGTGAAGGACAGGCTTGAAACCCGCTGTCAGACCCACCCCAGAAATGTGAGGGGTGATGTCCTCTGGCCTTGATGGAAGAAGGGTAAGGAAGAACCAGGGCATGGAAGGACCCAGAAGCTGAGCAGGGCACACACACAGACTCTCAGGTGAAGTACCACAGGGATGCAGAAAAGCACAGGGCACGGCAATATCAGGAGTGAGGGTCTTCCCATGGAAATCCTAAAAGATCAGGACTGATGCAGTGCTCAAGGCATGACCACAGCAGAGAAACTGCTGTGGCAAAAGGACTATCACACACAGCTGACCTAAAAATTAGTTATTTTCGGTATTTTCTACCTTAACCGGTCTCTTCAGAAAAGCCCCAGAGCCTCGACCTTGCATCTCAAAATGGAGAAGGGTCTACCAACCCCTTACCCAGGGGACCTTATGACCGCCTGCAGGTGGAACATTTTGGAGTCCTGGGGGTGATGCTTACCCACACCGAGCCGTGTCCCGCTGCCCAGGAGGAGCTGGGAGGACTCGGAGACGGAGCAGTAGTAGGTGCCGTTGTCCGAGGCCTGGAGGTGGCTGATGTGCAGGCTGTAGGAGGTGCGGGAGCTCACCCCATGGACACTAAACTTGTCCTTGTTGATGTTTGTGCCATATGTGGCTTTGCCCAAAGAGCTGGAAAATATCAGGAACTCGAAATTTTGCCTCTCCTGGCTCCAGCGGTACCAGTACACCCCAGCATGTTCCTTCTTCAGCTCACAGACAATTTCTGTTTTATTGTTAGTTTGAGCTAAAATATGCTCTGGAGTCTGGGATAAAAGTAGATTTGTACAGAAACCTAAGAAAAAAGAGACAAGAATACATAGTTATTATTTTCTTTTAATGATTTTTCTTCCATGCTAAATACAGATTTTCTTTGTGGGCTTAATAAGATCAAGTAGTCACAGACCAGGGGATCACATGAGGGAGAAACAGGAGCATCTTTATCAGGAATCTGAGCCCATGTTGCTTCAGAGGCCTTTTTGGGTTCCCCAGCTATTTTCTGGTCAAGCCTAGTTATAAAGGTAGAATTCGGCTGTAAACACTCATCTAGGAAGGAGGCTCAGTGGCGGGGAGAGGGATGGAGGGGTGATTTTGAGGGTGTCCTTGGGGCTGTATGTGCTGGGAAGGACATCCCCACCTGCTCAGTGTGGATGCCCCTCTCCTGCCTTCCTTTTCTCTCTCATTTTTCAGAGAGGCTTCACCCGTCTTTCAACAGATTTTTTTTTTTTGAGCCTTTTTTAACTTCTTTGACAGATTTTTGTTCTAACAGGTGCAGAAAAAGACCAATAAGGCACAAAACATCTCAAAATGAGCCAATTTTATATTAGTTTTCAGACAACATTATTTTTGTGTCAATTTTGAGACCTGGGGAAGGAGAGGGAGTGAGGTGGAACGGTGGGGCTGAAAGCTTTGGCTTGGCATCGCATCGCCCTGTTTGGGCTTTGCAGCTTTTGTGGAAATTATCTGAGGGGTGTTTGGCCTGGGCAGATGCGAGCGGTGTCTGTGTGCGAGCGAGGATGTGTCCTTGTGAAAAGGACAACAGGTGGCTTGTGATCCTTTCTGTTCAGCAAACAGTCCTTCAAAGCTGCAAATACTCTGCAGTGAAAAACAGCCCTCTGAAGATAAGGATGCTCTCGCTTCCCCGGTCTGTTTCCCAGGCGCGTTTCAAAGCTGTGCAAAAAGCTCAACAAAACATGCTTTTTGGCCCTTTTTACCTTAAAATGTCCCTATTCCTTCAAAATCCCAACGCTACTTACTGTAGTTCTTGCGAAAATCCTCGTGCAGCCCAGCAAACCCATCGGTGTGGGAATGGGTTTGTGTGACCACAAGAACACCTGAAGCCATCCCTGTGGCCCATGATCCCAACGTCCCCTGTGTCCCTGATGGGGACAACCGGAGAAGAGGGCTCTGCTGACTGACACGATGACCCCATCACCGCTGGCACGCTGCTGAGACGAGCACGCTTCAGCCCTAATACTGCAATGCTCAAATTCAGGAGTTGCACAGCAGCTGCAGCTTTTCACTGCATCCTCTGGTGCTCTGACAATATAAATGTCTCCTTATTACTAAAATACATCATTTTCAGCTGTGTTGTCCTGCAGCTGGGTGACCATTACACGATGCAAACAAAACACCCAGCAGTCCTGACAACCTCTAGCGAGGATGCAGGGCACCTGTGGACCCGGGCTGGGCAATGTCTTGGGGAGGCCAGCTTGAGCTGCCACCCTAAGATACTCATTTAGCGGGTGTTTCAAGCTCTCAATACTTTCCACCTGAGAACTGATGGCACAATTTGCCCTGTAAAGCATAATTCTACCACTTTGCTGTGGCATTGACTGTATATATTCAGTCCAGATCTCCTGCATCCTGTCTGCAATAAGCAGAAGGCAGCACAGTTTTATAACACACCGATTCCAGCTCTGGCCCTTGGGAAACATTCAGTTCTGCGACAGATTTAGAAGAAAATTTGATGGGACATTTATCGTCTTCGCGTTACACAGGCAATGGAGATAGGTGCTACTTCAGCTTCTCCACCAGCAGCTTCCCACAGTCTGTCTGCACTAAGAGGGTGCAGTAAAAACAAACTATGTGGTGTATATACCTTATATATTGCCCTATGAAGAGAAGAGAAGAGAAGAGAAGAGAAGAGAAGAGAAGAGAAGAGAAGAGAAGAGAAGAGAAGAGAAGAGAAGAGAAGAGAAGAGAAGAGAAGAGAAGAGAAGAGAAGAGAAGAGAAGAGAAGAGAGACGAGACTACTTCAGTTGGAAGGAACCTACACTGATCATCTAGTCCAACTGCCTGACCAATTCAAAGCTGACCATAAGCTAAAGCCTGTTATTCATGGCATTGTCCAAAATGATGCAGTGATAGGCACTAATATCCCATAGATCTATACTATGCCTGTATATCTAAACTTCCATCATCCACATGCTGCGCAATGCATCCCATGTGCTGGAGCAGGGTGGAGGAGAGGCTCCAGCATGATTTTCGGTGCCCTCAACCCTTAAGAGACATGTCCCTCTTACCTGGGATCTGGAGGCAGATGCAGAGATGGAGCCACGACCGGGCCATGGCGGTGGAGTCAACGATGGAGGGGTTTTGTGCCAGCTCCCCCTTTCCACGCACAGTCACCTCACGGTGGTAAGGCTGCTTTCACCCCAGGAGGTTCTGCCCTGTCTCGGCGCAGATGTCTTGCCGACGGCTGCCGAGGAGCATCTGCTGTGGCAGCACCTGGAGACTCAGCCCAGCAGCTTCTTCTGCACCTAGCCCCCAAACCAGGTGTGTGTGGCAGCCCCACGCACTTCTCCAGTGCCACACTGGATCCCCTGAAATCCCCTTTAGGAAGAAAAAAAAATGAAAAGCCACTGATTTTTAATTATGATTTCTTCATATTTCATCACCTAGCTTTTCCTCCTCCTTTTAATCTAGGTCCAGGCAATTTAAAAAATGACAAATGTAGGAGCTTGGCACTAAAAATCAAAGCAGGAAAGGATGAATGTTGGCTTGTTTCTCCTCTGTTGAAATAAAAATGCATTCAAAATAAGGAGAAGATGCAATTTTGAGCTGTGCAGTTGGTTTCTTCAGTAGAACCCTTACCAGGAGGTGTTTTTCTCCGGGCCTGGAAAAGGCTGAACACCAAACTAGATCACCATAAAGCAGAGGCAGAAGGCATCACAGAGAACTTTGAAGTTAAGAGCAAGAAACCTCAAACAAATTTAGTGGCTGAAAAACCACAAAAATATGGAAACTCTGCTGGGGCTCCCCACCTCGCTGCTTTGGTAGCTGCAACACTGCGCAGCTCATACGCAGAAATATTTAAATGATAGATAAAATATCAGAGTGGCTTTGAAATGTCTTTAGGAGGGAGAGACTTGAAGCACTTGGGGTTTAGGATTCGGAAAGAGAAATAAGTAATGTGAAGTTACAGGGGTAAACTGGTGTCAGCCTTCAATATTTCCATATTTGGGAAAAATACCCAGAAATTATTTATTAATTTTATTTATTCACTGCCCCCTTCGCTGCTATGCGGGGTTTGGTTTTCTTTTATGCCTGACTTGTCCAGATACACAGGAACCTTACAAAGCCTCACTGGCTCCCTGGTGAGGGGGGATTTCCTGGAGGGGTTCTCATGTGGGGGCACCGAGAAACCTCCCCCGGGGTTTGAGTTGGCGGATGAATAGGAAAAACGATTTTGCATCTCGTGCAGTGCAATTTTTTGGTCCACTTCGCACCAGATTTTTCCATGCTGCTGTAACATCCCCTCACCATTTCTGTTTAAAATCATTTCCTGCTCGAAGCAGGTTACTAACCACCAAAAGCCCTGCCACCAAGGGCTCCGCTTCTAGAAGGTAGGGTGGGCTGAAGCGCTCCTTAACTCTTTCCTGGCAGGAGAAAGTAATTTCAGTGCTTTCAAAGGCATTTCAGTGCTTTAAGGGCTTGTTTTTGGAGCTGAGCTCCCAGCACAGGGTGCAGCAACCCTTGCTTCTCCCCTCCTTACCTCCTTCTTGCCTTTCCCCTCACTCCCAAATTGGGACCTCTCCAGAACTGGGTGTAGGCACCTCTTTTTGGGGGGGAGTGGGTATGCTTAATATGGGAAATGCAAGTGCATTTTTCCCTTTATCTCTGTGGTGAACTTGGTGAGCTGGGCCTGACGTCCCTGGCTGCTGCAATGGCTGCATCCCCCTTTTCTTACTGCTGCTGTCACCTGGAGCATCTTCTGGCCTCCTGGCCAAGACCAAAGTGCTCCCAGAGGTGGCTTTTGTCACCATTACAACCTCAGGCATAGGTCATGTTACACTGGGCTGCTGCAAGGCTGGTGACACTGGGTTGTCTTAGAAGTTATATTGGGTTGTCTAAGAGATACTTCAGCTTGGTAGGATTCCCCAGGCCATTTTAGCAACTTTAGAGATGCTTCCCTGTGGTGCATTTACCTATAGGATGTCTCATATAGAAAGAAAAAGGAATATTTGCAATGTAAAAGCATAGTACGTGTGCTGGAACAGGGGTTAATTTTTACTTCTATTGGAAGCTGCTGTTTATATGTAGTTTATCTATTTACTGGCTGCCAAGCTGTTCTCAGGACTGGATGTTGCTCCTACAAGAAAACATTTTGGAGGTGGGATGCCTTTGTCTGGCAGCCCATCGCCAACCAAAATAAAACCACTGTGGAAACACGCAGGAGAGCAGCTGCTGTTTATACCATCCCCAGATTGTTTGGGACTGCTGTCCTGGGAAGAAAAACGGGGAGGAAAAAAGAGTGTGAGTTGAACTGATCTGTTAACACAAACAAGAGCTGTTGTTGACCTTGCTGGGGTACAACGGCTCCTCATCATGAGTGTCTGGCTCACGGCTGGGGCAAGATGAGGGGATCATTGAATTTTGGTGTATTTGTGTTATTTGGCTGCACAATTTCTAGGGGGAAATTTATTCTTTTTCTGAAATGAAAGACAACCATCCCAGTTCCCAGACCAGCAACCTCCCTGCCCCATCTTGGTGCTTGCCCTGTGGGTCTCCTCTCACCCACCCCAGGGGGAAAGAAACATCCCCTTTTCTTTTTCTCAGCTCACATCCCATGTACCTCTCCCCGTTGACACTAGTTCTCTGCATTTTCACAGCTTTGATACATTTTCAACTTTTAATTTTCTCCCTATGATGGGTTTCTTACAGCAAAATGTTTGCCCTTGGGGGGGTTGGAGCAAAGCATCAGGGTAGAAGAAAGAAGCAGACAAGGAGCAGGACCTGGCTGGGGTTTCATCCCTGCTAAACTCCCACGTTGCAGGTAATTGCAGCTGGGCTGTAAATGCCAGGCTGGAGAAAAGAGTTGCCATAAAAATAAGGAAAAATCCATTCCCTCTGTGCCTTCTGGGATACAAGGGCTGACTTTTAGGATCAGGGAGGGCTGCTCAGCCTCAGGCCTGGTCCAACAGGGCCAGTATCACAGAACCTGGAGGTCTCTTGGGAATAAAGGGCTGCTGGACGGAAACTGAAGCAGCTGTGGGTAAATTTTTGTTGCTTTTTTTATTTTTTTAAATTCCAGAGAAAGGTGCAGCTTCTGGAGTATTTCATTAGGGGTAAAAGCAGCAATGAAAAGCATAGCATCTTCACTGAGATGGGTACTATCCTTTTCTGAATGTAATAGCAGAAAAAAAAATCAAGTGGGTCAAATTTTCTTTTCTAAACTGCTCTGAGCTAAAATGTGGTTTGTAGGGCAAGGCTGGGGAGGGGTGGGGGGGTGTCCTCCTTTGCAGGTGCAGATTTACAGCAGCACTTCAGCTGATGCAATGTTGTGGTTGAGGCTCCTGAGATGTCGTGGGGTACCCCCAAGGAACATGCCAGCGTGTGGCAGGCTGGTTTGTAGCACGGGAAAAACGCTGCTTTTGTAGTGCAGAAGCCAAAATGGATCTGAAATACTTATTGTATGAATTTTCCTGCTATCTCGCCTCCCCCCAGCAAACAGATCTGTGCTTAGAGGTAGGGATAGGGGGAGGCCGTGTGTGTAACAGCCCCATGTGTGATGTCCCCCCAAAACCCAGGTGCTAAGGGGGTGTGCAGCAAGTGAGGAGGCTACTAGGGAATTGGAGAGGATGGATGCTGTGGGGACAGGCTCCAGCTCTCCCTCTTCAGGACACTTGGTGCAAGCAGAAGTTGGCATGAGCGGTGACTAATCCTGGCCCCCCCAAAACAGATAAGGGTCAGAGTAGCTGCTCCCGTGTGATTTCAGTTTCCCTAATCAGCGCTGAAAAAGATAAGGAAAGACAAGGAAAGTGTCCTTGGGAAGACAGGGGGAGGGATGCCGCACCTGCAGGAGCAAGAGACACCAAGGAAGTAAACAGGGGTGTTATCAACCCCAAACAACGACCTGCCATGGCTATAAAAAGCCACCGGGGCGAGACCCTTCGATCAGCTTGACCTTACAGGTGAAGAATCCACTGGAGCTCTGCAGTGACCGTCTCCAGGTCCCTGGGACTGCCAGGACATCCAGCCAAGGATTGGTGAGATCTTATTATCGGGGTCCTACTGCGCCTCTGCTTCGCTTCGTCCGTTCCCACATCCCTTCCCCATCCCCTCCCCGGGAGCCGGTGGGTCGCGGCAGCTGCCCGGTCGGCCACGGCCACCCATCCTCACCTTCCCCATCCCCGGCTGCCAGGCTCGGCATCCCTCTTGGGGGAACTTTTCGGAGGGGTGGGTGGTAGGGTCGCAGCCTTCCTCTGCGGGTGGGTCGGCGGTGCTGGTGTTATGGTAGCTTTGCCCTGAGGCGGCCGTCTCAGATCTTGTTCCTCTCACCATGATGACCGACATCGTTAGCAACTGGAAGCTGGAGCAGTTTGTGCTCCAGAAGTGTCTCCCCCCGATTTGGTCCCCAGGGGCCTTCCAGGGCCCTGAGGCGTACCAGCAGCTGTGCCAGCAGTGGGAGAGTTGGTCTGAGGAGACCAAAAAGCCCAAACCCACAAACAAGTGCAAGAAGCGAGCGGCTTTGCAGGGTTTGTTGATGGTGGGCAGGGAGTTGTCCAAATTGCTGAAGGAGGCTCTTGAGAACGTGCAGGCACTGGAGCAGGCCAAGGGCGAGCTCAAAATGCAGGTGGACAACTTGCAGGCAGAGGTGCAGGGTTTGTGCGGGGACTCTCTGCGGAGCGCAGTGGAGATCACCCGGCTGGAGAACAAGCTGGGCTACGAGAAACTGAAATCGGAGGAGCTGCAGAAGGAGGTCGGCAAGCTGATCGGGGAGACCCACGATGCTCAGAGCGCTGTGCGGGCGGTCCTGCAGGATGTCCAGCGGGACCGGAGCACCGGCCCCGATCACAAGGTATGCCATGCCAAGATCCAGGAGCTGCAGGCAGAGCTGGGGGTGTCGAGGGGCATCGTGGCCGCCATCCAAGGCAAGAGGAGCCGGTTCGGGAATGGTGAAGGGGAGGAATCCCTGGACCCACACCCAACCCACTACGACTACGAGGATGATGTGTGGGGTGCCAATGGCCCCACCAGGCCATCCCCCTATGCTCCTCTGCGGGAGGAGATGTGCCAGCTGCAAGGAGGGGAGGTGGAGTCTTCCAAACTGAAAAAGAGTCCCCCTGATGAGCCGGCTGGCCCTGGCCCACTCCAGGCCATAGACACCAATAGGGCTGTGCTCTGGTTTAGCCCTGAGCAGCTCAAAACACTGGGGAAGACACTGGGGCCATTGACAAAGGAGACGGCTGTCAACTGGCTGTCCAGGGCGCAGTGGCTGCCCAGATGCCAGAACGGCAACTTGGTGAGTGACCTGATAGATGTGGTGAGAAAGTGCATGAAACCAGATGATTTCGCAGCGCTGCCGGGGGACGTGCAGATGGGCAACGTCCAGGACATCAGGGACATCCAGTCGGCTGTGCTGAAGGTGTTCTTCCCAGAGGTCAACCCCCTAGTGCTCTTCCACCAGGAGAAGCAAAACCCCGAGGAGCGTCCGGATGCCTATGTTAACCGTAAGAAGATGCTCTACCAGATGACTGGGCTGCCCGGCTCAAAGGACTCTCCCCTAGATTTTGACAGGCCTGAATTCAAGGAGCCACTGGTGGTGGGGCTGACCCCTCCATTGCGGGTGATAGCCGGTGGGGACGCGGCTAGAAAGCCCCTGTCAGAACTGGAACAGATTCTGACCCAGAATTTTGAGCTGCAAAAGCAGGCATTCCCGGGATACATGCTGGGGGGGAAGAAAGGGAAAACCTCAGCCATGTCCTTCCAAAATGCAGGGGTGAGAAAAATGCAAGGAGACAACCGTAAAGATCCTG